CAGTAATAGGCCTTGGATTACTGCTGGTAATCCTGCCTTCCCCTTGTAGGGTTAGAGGAGGTCAGAACATGTGGCCTCCTTGGCGTTTTTGCAGGCACTATGCCGCCAGAGCGCCTATGAGAGCTAGTAGCCTAAGAATGTATGGGTCAGTTACTGTAATTTTCTACCAGTGAACATAAAGACCTTTTCCACATTCAGCTTAATGGATTTCTTTCACAGTTGTTGCTCTATTTGGTTTTTATGCTACTGTTTTTAAAATATTTATCATGTATACTTCATGCATCATTTAGCATTTTAAATGAGAAAAATCAGTGTCTAGTTTTTATATGGAGAAATTTTAGATATGGAAAGATCATTCCTCTATTCCTTTCTGTTTCAGGAAATTCAGCCTCCCAGTTGCAGACTCAGAAACCTAGAAGCTCTGAAACTATGTCAACTCTGCTGGAAGATTCTGGGTGTGATTTGTCAAATGAGCACCAAACTGAAGCTTCAGAGACATCCCAGCATTTTGTGGAGAGAAGCCCCCTGACACCTTTTCCACCACTGCCCATTATGAAAAGACATTGTGCCACTCCTGAAAACCCCCTGTCTTCTCACATGCAATTCTTGCAACATCTACTTGAGTTGAAGAATGTGGCAGAATCAGACATTCTGAAAACAGATTTAAGCCAGTTTGAAAATGACTATTCTGTGGTAGCCGATTCTGTTTCTCAGTTGCTGGATGGCCTGATAACTTTTTACAGTAATCCCAAAATTCCCTTTTCAAGCTTTTGGACAGAAGCTGTTTGTACTTTAGCTAGGCTGTTCAGTGATTATAATTTATCTAATCATATCCTTAAAAAGTGTTCCAAAAAGTTGGAAGAATTTGAGAAAACTATACTACAGGTTATTTTAAGGAACAAGAATATTAATCGGGTAAGTAATCTCTCCAATTTATGAGATCAGATTTCAGTGAATATTTCATTTGTTAATATTTTTTACTGTCCCTTTTGTTTTTGTCTCAAAGATTCTTCAGTTGGACCTTCTTTTCTGGCTGTTTGCAGCTCTAATTCATTGTAGTGCCTTGAGTTCTGGGCTGTAATGGCTACCATGTTGTTTTCCATATGAAATGTCTCTGTTTGAAGCTGTGGTTCTCTAGTTTTAGTTACCTTTCCTACTTTTATCATTATCCCTAGATTTTTCTCTTTCCTTATGTTTTCCCATGCTTATGTTTACTTCTTGTTGCTCAAAAAAGTCTCAATTCTTAAAAAAAAGAAAGATACTGATGGCATCCCAATTTATAACAAGTTATAAAGTGTTAAATTTTTAGAGTTGGATTACCTGCATTGTATTGGATTTACTTCTTTTTTCTCACATTAACTAGTAACTACTTTGAGGTCAAAGATAGTTACCCTCTTCTTTTGGAATTTCCTTTCTATCTGGCATTATTTCCCTGTGGACCATCTGAAGATGGAGGTTATCTGAGTAAATTGTCTGAGGAATATATATTATGAGACTTCATATCTTTTTCTCCCCTTAGTTATTTGCAATTGCTTAGAAATGTTGACTCAGGAATTCTTTTTTAACAAGTGACTTTGAGGTAACCTGAGGTGCTTGTTGTGTTTATGTTTTATTTTTTATGTTTGCTCTTGAAACATAGTGAAAATTTATTTCTCATTAGTTTATATCTTCCTCAGTATCTGATCATTTGTTTGGAACAATCCAAATACCTCCCAATTTTAGTCCTTTGAAAATGACTACTAAAAATAACAAAGGAGACTAAAAGGATTTTTTAACTTATTAACTGTCCTTCTCTGCAGGAAAAGATAGTTGTTGGTCATTATTTCTTTTAATAAAAGATATTTACCTGTGGGCTTTTAATTTTGACTATGCAAAGGCATTTGACTGTGTGGAAACAAATTAGAGGAAATTCCAGAACACTTAATCGTGCTCATGTGCAACCTGTACAATACACCAAGAGGCAGTGGTGGAAACAGAGCAAGGTGATGCTACGTAATTTAAAATCAGAAAAGGTATGTGTCAGGGTTGTAACCTTTTACTGTACTTATTCATTCTGTATGCTGAGCACATTATATGAGAGGCTGGAGTCTATGAAGAAGAATGCAGTATATCAGGATTGGCAGAAAATTTGTTAACAACCTGCAATATGCAGGTAATACAAGCTTGCTTGCTAAGAGCGAAGAGGAAGTACTTACTTATGAAGCTCAAAATCTGCAGCCTTCAGTATGGATTACACCTCCACATAAAGGAAACAAAAATCCTCATGACTGGACCAGTAAGTAATATTATGATAAATGGATAAAAGCATTGAAACATTTGTCTAATATAGTGCTGGAAGATAAGCCCCTCACATTGGCACTCAAAATAGGACTGGGCAAGATCTGCCTCCTCAGAGTAGAGTCAACCTAATGACATGGATAGAGTAAAGCTTTCAGGACCTCCATTTGCTGATGTGGCATGACTCAAAATGGGAAGAAACAGCTGCAAACATCCATTAATAATCAGAACATGGAATGTGTGAAGTATGAATCTAGGGAAATTGAAAGCAGTCAAAAATGAAATGGAACTCACAAAAATCAATATCCTAGGCATTAGTGAGCAGAAATGGACTGGTTTTGGCTATTTTGAATCAGACAACCTTATGATCTATGGCAGGAATGATGAAGTGGAATAGCATGACATTCACTGTCACAAAAAATTGTTTCAAGATCTATCCTGAAGTACAGTGCTGTCAGTGATAGGATAATATCCATACGCCTATAAGGAAGACCAGTTAATTCAGCTGTTATTCAAATTTACTCACCTACCACCAAAACCAAAGAAGAGGAAATTGGAGATTTTTACCAACTTCTGCAGTCTGAAATTGACCAAACATGCAATCAGGATATATTGATTATTACTGGTGATTGGTATGTGAAAGTTGGAAACAAAGAAGAATCACCAGTAATTGGAAAATAATGGACTTGGTTATAGAAATGACACTGGAGATTGCTTGATAGAATTTTGTAAGACCAACAACTTATTCATTACAAATACCTTTTCCAACAACATAAACAGCAGCTATACATGTGAACTTCTCCAGGTGGAGGACACAGAAATCACATCAACTATATCTGTGGAAAGAGGCAACAGACAAACTCAATATCTTCAGTCAAAACAAGGCCAGAAGCTGATCCAGTAACAGACCATTAATTGCTCATATGCAAGTTCAAGTTGAAGCTGAAGACAGTTAAAACAAGTCCTCAAGAGCTAAAATATAACCTTGATTATATCCCACCTGAATTTAGAGAACTTCTGAAGAATAGATTTAACACATTGCGCACCAGTGACTGAAACCAGATGAGTTGTAGGATAATATCAGGAACATCATCCATGAAGAAACCAAAAGGTCATTAAAAAGTCAGGAAAGAAAGTAAAGACCAAAATGGATGTCAGAAGAGACTCTGAAACTTGCCGTTGAACAGAGAGTAGCTGACACAGATGGAAGAAATGACAACACAAAAGAGCTGAACAGAAGATTTCAAAGAGCAGCTTGAGAAGACAAAGTCAGTTATTATAATGAAACGTGCAAAGACCTGAAGTTAGAAAACCAAAAGGGAAGGACACACAGCATTTACTGAGCTCAAAGAACTGAAGAAAACATTCAAGCCTCAAGTTGTAATATTGAAAGATGCTATGAGCAAAATATTGAATGATGTGGGAAACATCAACAGAAGATGGAAGGAATATATAGAGTTACTGTACCAAAAGGAATCGGTCCATGTTCATCTATTTCAGGAGGTACCATATGATCAAGAACCAATGGTACTGAAAGAAGAAGTTGAAGCTGCACTGAAGGAATTGACAAAAAGCAAGGCTCTAGGAATTGACAGAATTCCCATTGAGATGTTTCAACAAATGGATGCTGTGCTGGAGGCACTTACTCATCTATGCCAAGAAATTTGGAAGAGAGCCAGCTGGCCACCTGACTGGAAGAGATCCATATTTGTATCCATCCCAAAGAAAGATGATCCAACAAAATGTAGAAATTATTGAATGGTATCATTGATGTTATTACATGCAAGGAAAATTTTGCTGAAGAAAATTCAAAATGGTTGCAGCAGTATATTGACTGGGAACTTGCAGAAATGTAAGATGGATTCAGAAGAGGTCATGGAACAAAGGATATCATTGCTCATGTCAGATGGATCTTGGCTGAAAGCAAAGAACACCAGAAATATGTTTACTTGTGTTTTACTGACTATGAAAAAGCATTTGACAGTGTGAATTATAACAGATTATGGATAACTCTGAAAAGAATGGGATTCCAGAATACTTAATTGTGCTCTTGAGCAATGTGTACATAGACCAGGAGGCTGCATTTGAATTGAACAAGAGGATATCATATGGTTTAAAATCAGGAAGGGAGTGCTTCAGGGTTGTATCCTTTCACCATATTTATTCAGTCTGTATGCTGAGCAAATAATCCAAGAAGCTGGACTAGGTGAAGAAGAACATGGCATCAGGATTGGAGGAAATCTCATTAACAACCGGCAATATGCAGATGATACAACTATGCTTCAAGTAAAGATGACTTGAAGCCCTTACTAATAAAGATGAAAGACTACAGTCTGCAGTATGGATTATACCTCAACATAAAATGAAAATTCTCACAACTGGACCAATAAGCAGCATCATGATAATTGGAGAAAAGATTGAAGTTGTCAAAGATTTCATGTTAGTTGGTTCCACAATCAACACCAATGGAAGCAGCAGTCAAGAAATCAGACGATGTATAGCACTGGGAAAATCTGCTGCAAAAGACTTGTATAAATTGCTGAAGAGCAAGAATGTCTCTCTGAAGCTGAGGTGCTAACCTAAGACATAGTATTTTCAGTTGCCTCGAATCTATGTGAAAGCTGGAGAATGAATAAGGAAGACTGAAGAAGAGTTGATGCTTTTGAGTTGTGGTATTGGCAAAGAATACTGAAAGTACCATAGACTGCCAGAAGAACTACCAACTCTGTCATGGACAACGTGCAGCCGGAATGCTCCTTGGAAACGAGAATGGGCACACTTTGTCTTAAGTACTTTGGTCTTGTCAGAAGGGACCACTTCCTGGATAAGGATATCATTCTTGGTAAAGTGGAGGGTCAGTGACTAAGGGGATGGCCCTCAATGAGATGGATTGACAGAGTGACTTCAACAATGGGCTCAGGTATAGCAAGGCTTGTAATGCTGGCACAGGATTGGGCAGTGTTTTATTCTGTTTTACATATCCCTACGTGTTGGAGCCAACTTGATGATACAACAACAATAATACTGACTGACAGAAGAATGAACAAATCTGTTTTGGAAGATGTACAGCCAGAGTGCTCCTTAGAAGCAAGAATGATGTGACTTCATCTCATGTACTTTGCACATGTTATCAGGAGAGACCAGTAATTGGAGAAGGACATCACACTTGGTAAAGTAGGGGACCAGCAAAAAAGGAGGAAAACCATCAACAAGACAGATTGTCAGAGAGGCTCCAACTGTCGGCTTGAAGACAGCAACAATTGTGAGGATGGCTCAGGAGCTGATATTGTTTCATTTTGTTGTACATGGGAACACTGTGAGTCAGAACTGGCACCTAATAACAACAACAACCTTTCTTTTGATACATCATTAAGTCTTTGTCCTTAGGGCTATAATCTAACAAAATATCTGACAAAATTTGAACTGATAACCTAATTTATTATACATACGTATATTCTTTCCTTCTGGGAAGACCTATCAATGTATGAGTTGATCAGTATTATAGAAAACTTTATGTTAAGCTTTTGGCATTTGTGAAAGATACTGAATTTTCTGTCTGGGAAATGGCAATCTTTTTCTGGCCAATCAGGATTTAAAAATCAGATTTTCTATAATGTAATCTAAAATACATGTTTCTT